GCTCGGCTCCTGGGGCGCCCCGTCCCTGTTTGGTTTTGGCTGTTTTCGGTTCTCCGTCGGTTGTTCTGGTCGCTGCTGGCCCCTGGGCTGGCTCTCGGTCGTTCGGCCCCTTGGGGTGCCCCTTCCCTGTCTGTTTTTTGTTGTTTTCGGTTGTCTGTCGGTTGTTTCGGTCGCCCGTGGCCCCTGGGCTGGCTCTCGGTCGCTCGGCCCCTGGGGGGTGCCCCTTCCTTGCTTGGTTGTGGTTGTTTTCGGTTGTCCGTCGGTTGTTATGGTCGTCCCTGAGTCCTGGGCTGGCTCTCGGCCGCTCGGCCCCTGGGGGTGCCCCTTCCTTGTTTTGTTTCGGTTGTTTTCGGTTGTCTGTCGGTTGTTTCGGTCGCCCGTGGCCCCTGGGCTGGCTCTCGGTCGCTCGGCTCCTGGGGCGCCCCGTCCCTGTTTGGTGTTGGTTGTATTCGATTGTCTGTCGGTTGTTCTGGTCGTCCCTGGCTCCTGGGCTGACTCTCGGTCGCTCGGCCCCTGGGGGTGTCCCTTCCTTGTTTTGTTTCGGTTGTTTTCAGTTGTCTGTCAATTGTTTCGGTCGCTCCTGGCCACTGGGCTGGCTCTCGGTCGCTCGGCCCCTGGGGGTGCCCCTTCCCTGTCTGGTTTTGGTTGTTTTCGGTTGTCCGCGGGGTGTTCTGGTCGTCCCTGGCTCCTGGGCTGGCTCTCGGCCGCTCGGCCCCTGGGGCGCCTTCCTTGTCTGGTGTTGGTTGTTTTCGGTTGTCTGTCGGTTGTTCTGGTCGCTCCTGGACCCTGGGTTGGCTCTCGGTCGCTCGGCCCCTGGGGTGCCCCTTCCTTGTGTGGTTTTGGTTGTTTTCGGTTGTCTGTCGGTCGTTTCGGTCGCACCTGGCCCCTGGGCTGGCTCTCGGTCGCTCGGCCCTTGGGGGGCCCCTTCCCTGTTTGGTTTTGGTTGTTTTCGGTTGTCTGTCGGTTGTTCTGGTCGTCCCTCGCTCCTGGGCTGGCTCTCGGTCGCTCGGCCCCTGGGGCGCCCCTTCCCTATCTGGTTTTGGTTGTTTCGGTTGTCTGTCGGTTGTTTCGGTCGCTCCTGGCCCCTGGGCTGGCTCTCGGTCGCTCGGCCCTGGGGGTGCCCCTTCCCTGTCTGGTTTGGTGTTTTCGATTGGTCTGTTCTGGTCGTGGTGGGCCTCTCGGTCGGCCCTTGGGGGGCCCCTTCCCTGTTTGGTTTTGGTTGTTTTCGGTTGTCTGTCGGTTGTTCTGGTCGGCCCTGGCTCCTGGGTTGGCTCTCGGTCGCTCGGCCCCTGGGGTGCCCCTTCCCTGTCTGGTTTTCGTTGTTTTCGGTTGTCCGTCGGTTGATCTGGTCGCTCCTGGCCGTTGGGCTGGCTCTCGGTCGCTCGGCCCTTGGGGGTGCCCCTTCCTTGTTTGGTTTTGGTTGTTTTCGGTTGTCTGTCGGTTGTTTCGGTCGCCCGTGGCCCCTGGGCTGGCTCTCGGTCGGTCGGCCCCTGGGGTGCCCCTTCCCTGTCTGGTTTTGGTTGTTTTCGGTTGTCTGTCGGTTGTTCCGGTCGCTCGTGGCCCCTGGGCTGGCTCTCTGTCGCTCGGCCCCTGGGGGTGCCCCTTCCTTGTCTGGTTTTGGTTGTTTTCGGTTGTCTGTTGGTTGTTCTGGTCGCTCCTGGCCCCTGGGCTGGCTCCCGGTCGCTCGGCCCCTGGGGGCGCCCCTTCCTTGTCTGGTGTTGGTTGTTTTCGGTTGTCTGTCGGTTGTTTCGGTCGCTCCTGGCCCCTGGGCTGGCTCTCGGTCGCTCGGCCCCTGGGGGTGCCCCTTCCTTGTCTGGTGTTGGTTGTTTTCGGTTGTTTGTCGGTTGTTTCGGTCGCTCCTGGCCCCTGGGCTGGCTCTCGGTCGCTCGGCCCCTTGGGGTGTCCCTTCCGTGTTTGGTTTTTGTTGTTTTCGGTTGACCGTCGGTTGTTCTGGTCGTCCCTGGCTCCTGGGCTGGCTCTCGGTCGTTCGGCCCCTGGGGCGCCCCTTCCCTGTCTGGTTTTGGCTGTTTTCGGTTCTCCGTCGGTTGTTCTGGTCGTGCTGGCCCCCGGGTGGCTCTCGTCGTTCGGCCCCTGGGGGTGCCCCCTTCCTGTCTGGTTGGGTCTGCCAGGAGCGACCGAAACAACCGACAGACAACCGAAAACAACCAAAACCAAACGAGGAAGGGCACCCCCAGGGGCCGAGGGACCGAGAGACAACCCAGGGGCCAGGAGCGACCAGAACAACCGACGGACAACCAAACAACCAAAACCACACAAGGGAAGGGGCGCCACAGGGGCCGAGCGACCGAGAGCCAGCCCAGGAGCCAAGGACGACCAGAAGAACCGACAGACAACCGAAAACAACCAAAACCAGACAGAGAAGGGGCACCCCAGGGGCCGAGCGACCGAGAGCCAGCCCAGGGGCCACGGGCGACCGAAACAACCGACGTACAACCGAAAACAACCAAAACCAAACAAGGAAGGGGCACCCCCAGGGGCCGAGCGACCGAGAGCCAACCCAGGGGCCAGGAGCGACCAGAACAACCGACGGACAACCGAAAACAACCAAAACCAGACAGGGAAGGGGGGCCCCAGGGGCCGAGCGACCGAGAGCCAGCCCAGGAGCCAGGGACGACCAGAACAACCGACAGACAACCGAAAACAACCAAAACCAGACAAGGAAGGGGCACCATGGGCCGAGCGACCGAGAGCCAGACAGCCCAGGGGCCAGCAGCGACCAAAACAACCGACAGACAACCGAAAACAACCCAAACCAGACAAAGAATGGGCAACCCAGGGGCCGAGCGACCGAGAGCCCGCCCAGGGGCCACGGGCGACCGAAACAACCGACGGACAACCGAAAACAACCAAAACCAGACAAGGAAGGGGCACCCCCAGGGGCCGAGCGACCGAGAGCCAGCCCAGGGGCCAAGTACGACCAGAACAACCGACAGACAACGGAAAACAACCAAAACCAGACAGGGAAGGGGCACCTCAGGGGCCGAGCGACCGAGAGCCAGCCCAGGGGCCACGGGCGACCGAAACAACCGACATAACCGAAAACAACAAAAACCAGACAAGGAAGGGGCACCCCAGGGGCCGAGCGACCGAGAGCCAGCCCAGGGGCCAGCAGCGACCAGAACAACCGACGGAGAACCGAAAACAACCAAAACCAAGATAGGGAAGGGGCGCCCCAGGGGCCGAGCGACCGAGAGCCAGCCCAGGAGCGAGGGACGACCAGAACCCACAGACAACCGAAAACAACCAAAACCAGACAGGGAAGGGGCCCCCCAGGGGCCGAGCGACCGAGAGCCAGCCCAGGGGCCAGGAGCGACCGAAACAACTGACAGACAACTGAAAACAACCAAAACAAAACAAGGAAGGGACACCCCCAGGGGCCGAGCGACCGAGAGTCAGCCCAGGAGCCAGGGACGACCAGAACAACCGACAGACAATCGAAAACAACCAACACCAGACAAGGAAGGGGCACCCCAAGGGGACGAGCGACCGAGAGCCAGCCCAGGGGCCACGGGCGACCGAAACAACCGACAGGCAACCGAAAACAACAAAAAACATACAGGGAAGGGGCACACCAAGGGGCCGAACGACCGAGAGCCAGCCCAGGGGCCAGCAGCGACCAGAACAACCGACGGAGAACCGAAAACAGCCAAAACCAAACAGGGACGGGGCGCCCCAGGGGCCGAGCGACCGAGAGCCAGCCCAGCAGCCAGGGACGACCAGAACAACCGACGGCGAACCGAAAACAACAAAAACCAAACACAGAAGGGACACCCCAAGGGCCGAGCGACCGAGAGCCAGCCAACCCAGGGTCCAGGAGCGACCGAAACAACCGACAGACAACCGAAACCAACCAACACCAGACAAGGAAGGGGCACCCCCAGGGGCCGAGCGGCCGAGAGCCAGCCCAGGACTCAGGGACGACCAGAACAACCGACGGACAACCGAAAACAACCACAACCAAACAAGGAAGGGGCGCCCCCCGGGGCCGAGCGACCGAGAGCCAGCCCAGGGGCCAGGTACGACCAGAACAACCGACAGACAACCGAAAACAACCAAAACCAGACAGGGAAGGGGCACCTCAGGGGCCGAGCGACCGAGAGCCAGCCCAAGGGCCACGGGCGACCAGAAAACCCGACGGACAACCGAAAACAACCAAATCCAGACAGGGAAGGGGCCCCCCAAGGGCCGAGCGACCGAGAGCCAGCCCAGGGGCCAGGAGCGACCGAAACAACCGACAGACAACCGAAAACAACCAAAACCAGACAAGGAAGGGGCGCCCCAGGGGCCGAGCGGCCGAGAGCCAGCCCAGGAGCGAGGGACGACCAGAACAACCGACGGTCAACCGAAAACAACCAAAACCAGACAGGGAAGGGGCACCCCAGGGGCCGAGCGACCGAGAGCAAGCCCAGGGGCCAGGAGCGACCAAAACAACTGACAGACGCCCGAAAAACAACCAAAACCAGACAAGGAAGGGGAACCCCAAGGGGCCGAGCGACCGAGAGCCAACCCAGGGCCCAGGAGCGACCAGAACAACCGACAGACAACCGAAAACAACCAAAACCAGGCCGAAGGGAAAACGAAAAAAAACGAACAATCAACAACCAACAACACTTATTTCAAAAACAACATAAACACCAACGAAAACCAACCAACGACAATCAACAACAACAACGAAACACAACCAAAACAACCAAAGAAGTAGATTCGATTTGCGCCCGCCCCCCAAAACATCTAAAACTATCAATTCTTGAAGTAGGAAGGCGCTTAAAGTAGATTGGGATCTGGGAATCCAAAAATACCTACTTTCAACGACCGACGTGTAATAGAAATAATAGTAGTACGGCTACTGATACGAATACTACTAATAATAATAATAATGATGATGATAATAATAATAATAGAGCATAATAATAGAGCATAAGAAAAAACACTATCAACAAAAAAACAACGTCGACCATGGACGCGCGCGGGGCCCAGGCCTCCGCGCGCGTGGGCACAGGCGACTCGATCATGCTCTCGACCACCTGCGTGGCGTTGATGACCTCGGCAGTGTCCCGCGCGCCGGGGGGGAGGCGGCCCTGCGGAGGTGGACCCATAGCTGGGGTCGACGCTGCAGCTGGGTCACCCCAGCTTTGCGCATCGCGCCCCGCGATGCGCGAGCATCTTCGCGCCATCGCGCCGCGCCCTTGGGCAAGGCAAATCGCCCAGGCCCAGACAGCGACGCGCGACGCGCGACGACTTTCGCGCCGCAACGGTGACCTGGCCCAAGGTCTGGGGGGCTCCCAAAAGGGGTGGTGACCACACCGTGTGGTGAGTCAGTGAGAATTCGGGGTCACCGCACGGTGTTGGGACTCCAGTCGTTCTCCGAGGACCTCTCGGGCGACTGGGGCCTCCAAGGTCCCAAGACCGTGCCGTGACGGACCGTGCGGTCTGTCACCGCACGGTCTGTCACCGTACCGTTTCGGGACTCCCAAAAGTCACCCGCGACACTTCGGAGCACCCGGGGCCCTCCGGGCCCCTTGAGGGGTTCTCGGGAGACAACCGGGCCTCCCGTAGGGATCCTGGGGACAGCGTGGGCGAGGGACCCCTCTGGCAGCACCCGCCTGGTGGGTCGAGGATCTGGCGCCGAGCTTCGAGCGACGGTCGGTGATCCTCGGAACGCAGAACGCATGCCGACGCAAACGTGCGTCTTGCCTGCCGATGCCCTCCGATGCGACGCGGGCGGCATGGCTGCCGAGGGCCAACACGGGCTGCGTGCCACATCGGCGGAGCTGAGCGGGGCGAGCACGCACTGGACTCACAGACGTCCTGAGTCGGCCACACGCAAGAGTGACCCTGGGTAGGAGTGACCTTTGGTGCGCGGCTTTTTGGGGGCCGCGGGGGACCAAACCTGGGCGCGCAAGCCGCTGCTCCTGCTTGGTTTTCAGCCATATGGGGACCCATCTGTGGCCGCACCAAAGGTCACTCCGGCGAAAGGTCACTCCTACGTCTAGTCGACTGAGGAGCAGCGGGACGAGGCGCCCGGATCCCCGCCTCCTGCTCCCCCCTGCCTGTAGGCCTCGCGGGGGGCCTCCGAGGCCCTCCGTGGGCCTGCCGGGGGGGGGCCGCCTGGGGCCTCGCCGGAGGGGGCTAACTCGGGACGCCCGGGGGGGCCGGCTGGGCGGAGGGAGAGGGGGCGCCGCGAGGGAGGGGGGGCCCGCTCCTGGGCCAGCCCCCGATCGACGAGGCATCGCCCGACAGATCGGCGACAGGCCCTCAACGGCCTCCTCGTCCTCCTCGTCGTCTTAGTTGCTCTCCTGCTCCTCCTCCTCCTCCTCCTCCTCCTCCTCCTCCTCCTCCTCCTCCTCCTCCTCCTCCTCCTCATTCAGAAGAAGAGCTGCACAAACATCAACAACTGTCGGAGGTCCGCGCGGAGCTCAGAAAGCTTAGGCTCACACCGGTATTCCTCCCTCGAAACCCACGAACCAATCACGGCCTGCCCGTCTTGCTGCGGCATCCCTCCAGCTGTATCGACCTGTGATGATCCTGGGGCCCGAGGCTGGGCGAGAAGTGCCTGGCGTGCAGAGTGTGCAGCGCCTGGATCCGAGGGTACGCCCCCATCCCCCAAACCTTGTGGACGCCACGACAATGGACACCCTAACAGTCCTATCATTGAACTTAGAATGTGTTTACAACGTAGGAAGCATGTTCTAAACATGTGTTAAGCATGTGTTTTGCATGTAAAACACATGTCTAACATATGTTTTAGACATCTGGAAAATATTTGGCAACATGCTTCCTCTCCATTGATCGTCCTCCTCCACCAGACCTTCCTGCGCACGAGCTGCGCAACCGCGCGCAGCCCACTCGGCTGCGAAGGGAGGGCGGGGATCGGGCGGGAGAGCGCAAGGGGCGGCGGCGGGCGGGCTCTCGGCTGCCACGCTCCTAGGGGGGCGCACGAAGAGGCCCGCGCGCTTGGCCTTGGCGATGAGCAGCTTCTGCGCAAACGGGACGCGCTCCAACTGCCGCGCCGAGGGGGGCGGGCAGGAGGAGTGCCCCCAGGTCCAGGCGCCGTAGAGGCAGCGGCGGCCAGGGGAGGAGCTGGGGGTGGGGAGCGCGAGAAGAGGAGGAGGAGGAGGAGGAGGAGGAGGAGGAGGACGACGACGACGACGGGGAGGAGAGGGAATACGAGAAGGAGGAATACGAGGAGGAGGAGGAGGAGGAGGAGGAAGAAGAAGAAGAAGGAGAAAGAGAAGAGAAAAAAGAGGAGGAGGAGGAGGAGGAGGAGCAGGAGGAGCAGGAGGAGCACGAACACGAGGCGCCCCCGGGCCCAGGCGTCGCAGAAAAGGTGGCGGCCGGTGCCCCGTGTGCTCGGCACCCGGATGCTACGCTCCTGGCCCAGCGGCGCTGTCGAGTCCGACCCCGGGCGGGCAGCTGGTGCCTGGGAGGAGGCCGAGATCCCTGGCGGAGGGGAGGAGGGAGGAGGGGGGGGGAGGGAGGAGGATGGGAGGAGGGAGGGAGAGGGAGGAGGAGGGAGTGGGGGGGGCCGAGATCCCTGGCGGAGGGGCGGAGGGAGGAGGGAGGGGCCGAGGGGCAGGGAGGAGACGGGAAGGGGAGAGAGGAGTAACGGGGGGGGAGGGGGAGGAGGGGGGGGGCCGAGGGAAGCGTCGGCACAGGGGGAGAGCGGAGTCAGGCAGGAGTTGTGGGGGGAAGGGGGAAGCTGGAAAGAAGAAGGAGGAAGGAGCAAGGAGGGTGATGAGGAGGAAAAGGGAAAAGAAGGGCGGAGGAGAGACGAGGAAGGAGAGGATGGCGGAAGAGGGAGGGGGGAAGGGAGGTGGGAGGAGGGAGGGAGGCAGAGAGGGAGGGCGGGAAGGAGGAGGGAGGATGGATACGGCAGGAGGTAAGGAAGAGGGACGAGCAGGGAGGAGGACGGAGGAGGAAGGATCAAGGGGGGCGACAATGGGAGGGGAAGGGAGAGGGGGATGTGGGAGGGATAACGGGTATGGAGGATGGGGGGGGGTCTAGGATGGCATCGGGAAACGGGGACGACGATGGTGAGCGGGAAGCGGGAAAAAGGCGAGCAGAAAAACAATGAGGATGGATGAAAGCATGGAGGAGGCAGGAAGAGGAGATGGGGAGCGGGCAGGAAGGGGCAAAGGACAGCAGCAGGAGTGGACAAGAAGGCGCAGGGTGAGAGGGATGCGGCAGCGGACGGGACTGAAGGAAACACATCGGGCGTGCCAGGGAGGGGGGTCTAGAAGACGGGGGCCAGCGCATCATGGCCCGGCACATGCGGGCGGACGAACGGGGCCAGGGCACGTAATGTTGGAAGCCTCGGTTGTGGCCCTGGCCATGATTGTCACGCGCACACACACACACACACACACGCACTGAGTCCTCACCGCCCTCTTGGACGCCCCCGAGGAAAGGGAAGGGACTGGACGGACGGGGCGGCTCTGGTGGTGCTTGCCCAGGGAAGCGCGCCGCGGGCAGGGGCGGCAAGCACAGAGCCCCTGCCCTGCGGCGGCCTCTGCCACTCGGGGACGGCGGGGGGGGGGACAGCTCACCACTGTCGCGGCACCCCCTCTGCCCCCCCCCCCCTCCACAAGAGTCCTGCTGACACACCACCTGCAGGTTGATAGGGGGACCGACCGCCCTGGCATGCCGGTAGGCCTACCACGACATGTTCTTAGAACAGTATTATGTTATGATAGCAAGCGCTATGCTCATATATCACAAACAGATGTAAGAAACATGACGGTCCCAGCCAAAACTGTTCTAATGCCATACCGCGCAAGCCGCAAAGGTTCTTACAACTTGATGTGGTAGGCCTACAAGCGAATCAGGACGCTTCGCCACTCTGGCGGCGCGCGCGCGAGGGTAGGGGGAGGGGGAAGGCTTCACTGAAGGAGCTGCTTCTTAGAAGGCGCCCACATGCATAGACAGGGCCCGAGCCTCAAGGAGGGGTGCTTCTAAGAAGCCCTCCCCCCTCCCCTCATTTACCCCTCTGTGCGCGCGGCTGACCACTGCCGGAACCTGCACGGGCCGCCTCTCCAGGCGCCAGCACCAGAGGCCGACGCCGGCCTGCGCGAGGGCGCCCCGTCTGCATCGAGGCCAAGGAGCCCGCGGAGGACAGGGCGGTCCATCCGCCCGCCCCAGCTTGCCTCACCCGGCTGCGCCCGCAGAGGCTGAAGAAAGGGAGGAGGAGGAGGAGGAGGAGGAGGAGGAGGAGGAGGAGGAGGAGGAGGGGGAGGGAGGAGGAGGAGGAGGACGACGAAGAGAAAGACGGGTATGATGATGATGATGATGATGATGATGAGGAGGAGGAGGAGGAGGAGGAGAAGGAGGAAGAGGAGGAGGAGGAGAAAGAGAAAGAGGAGGAAGAGGAGGAGGAGACAGGAGGAGGAGGAGAAGGAGGGGGATGAGATGAGATGAGGTGAGATGAGGTGAGATGAGATGAGATGAGATGAGATGAGATGAGATGGGATGATGGATGGGATGGGATGGGATGGGATGGGATGGGATGGGATGGGATGGATGGGATGGGATGGGATGAGATGTGATGAGATGAGATGAGATGAGACGAGATGAGACGGCGCCTCGAGACAGTCGAGACGGAATGGACCAGCCCAATAGCACACAGCGCTAGGGCGAGCTCACCCAACGCGAAGGTCAGCTCACACCTTGAAGGTGGGTGCAGGAGGAGAGGGAGGACGAGTGGGAGGAGGAGGAGGAGGAGGAGGAGGAGGAGGAGGAGGGGGGGAGGGAGGAGGAGGATGACGACGAAGAGAAAGGACGGCTATGATGATATGAGGAGGAGGAGGAGAAGAAGGAAGAGGAGGAGGAGGAGAAAGAGAAAGGGAGGAAGAGGAGGAGGGAGGAACAGGAGCGAGGAGGCGGAGGAGGAGGAGGGGATGAGGAGAGGAGGAGAGGAGGAGGAGGAGAAGGAGGAGGAGGAGGAGAAGGAGGAGGAGGGAGGAGATGAGATGGGTGAGATGAGGTGAGATTAGATGAGATGAGATGAGATGGATGGGATGGGATTGGATGGGATGGATTGGGATTGGGATGGGATGGGATGGGGATGAGATGAGAGGAGATGAGACGGCGGCCTCGAGACAGGTCGAGACGGAAGGGACCAGCCCAATTAGCGCACAGCGCTAGGGCGAGCTCACCAACGCGCAGGTCAAGCTCACACCTTGAGAGGGGTGCCAGGAGGAGAGGGAGACGAGTGGGAGGGAGGAGGAGTAGGAGGAGGAGGAGGGGAGGAGGAGGAGGAGGAGGAGAGGAGGCGTAGGCGGAGGCGGAGGAGGAGGAGGAGGAGAGGAGGAGGAGGACGGAGGGGGAGGGGGGAGGGGGAGGGGGAGGGGGGGGAAACCAACGCGTGTCAATGAAAATCGGCAAAAATGGCAACCTGCGAGGGTCCGCGCGGATGTTCCTGGGATCGCCGCGGAGGTCCCCAAAGGCTGGCGCGCGGAACGGCACCGGAGGCGCCGCCAGGGGTATTTTGAAGCCGATCCGAGAAATCCACGCGGACCTCCGAAAACTTATGATCTTTCTTCTCGGAACCCTCGAGGCAGAAAGCCACAACTCGTCTCGGAAAGGGCTGGGGAGACCCGCAAACCCAAAGCAAGGAGCCCAAAGAAAGGCCACGACTCCCGCACGGAGCGCCTCGCCAAGAGCCACAAGAGTCCCCTGCCCACGCCCCCCCCCGACGCCGGTGCAGAAGGCGCTGCAAGCGTTCGCTGGCGGCCCACCCAGACTGGAGTAGAAGGACCCCAGGGGCCGTCCAAGCGGGGTCCGAGCAGATAGGGTCGGAGGATACCGCCGCATCGCCGATGCCTCGGCGCTGGCGTAGAGAAACGGGTTCAACATCGGGACCCACAGGTCTCGGCCCATTCCCGGGGACCAGGTGTTCATCCTGAGTTGTTTCTGACGGTCCCGAGGCCTGGCCAGGGCCCCCAGAGGCCGAAAATGGAAAGGAACTTTCCGTCGTCATCGATGTCACGACGCGAGGAGGTCTGGGATCCTCCGACCCGAGGAGGAGGAGGAGGAGGAGGAGAAGGAGGAGGAGGAGAAGGAGGAGAGGGGGAGAGGAGAGAAGGGGGAGGAGGAGGAGGAGGAGGAGGAGGAGGAGGAGGAGGAGGAGGAAGGAGGAGGAGGAGGCGGAGGAGGAGGAGGAGGAGGAGGAGGAGGAGGAAGGAGGGAGGAGGAGGAGGGAGGAGGAGGAGGAGGAGGAGGAGGGAGGAGGAGGAGGAGGAGGAGGAGGAGGAGGAGGAGGAGGAGGAGGAGGAGGAGAGAGGGAGGGAGGGAGGGAGGGAGGGAGGGAGGGAGGAGAGGGAGGGGGAGGAGGGAGAAGGGAGGGATGGGGGAGGGGGAGGGGGAGGAGGGATGAGAGGGGGAGGAGGAGGAGGGAGGAGAGGAGGAGGAGGAGGAGGAGGAGGAGGAGGAGGAGGAGGAGAAGTGAGGAGGAGAAGTGAGGAGGAGGAGGAGGAGGAGGAGGAGGAGGAGGAGGAGGAGGAGGAGGAGGCGTGGCCGGGAAACACACTGCCCAGTGAGCAACGCCCTGCGCAGTGCGTGACGGACGGCACCGCGCGCCTCCATCTCCACGCCCAGGTCGCCGCGCGCGACCATCAGCGCTTGCGATTTCTCGATGATGCCGTCGATTTGGTCAGAGCCTCCTCCTCCTCCTCCTCATCCTCCTCCTCCTCCTCCTCCTGTCATCCTCCTCTCTCCTCCTCCCCTCCCCTCCTCCCTACCTCCTTCCTCCTCATCCTCCTCCTCCTCCTCTCCTCCTCCTCCTCCCACCTCCTGCCTCCTCCTCCTCCTGCTGCTCCTCCGATCCTCCTCCTCCTCCTCCTCCCTCCTCCTCCTCCCCTCCTCCTCCTCCTCCTCCTCTCCAGTAACACCTGGCCCAAGCCGGCACCAGTTTTGTTGGTTCAAGCCCGAGCGCGCGAATCGGTACCGCTGCAGGTGATATTCGTAGTGTCGCGCGTGGCACACTGTAGCCCCGACTTGCAGGGCAACCGTGGGTGGTTGGCGATATTTCGTGAATGCGTTTCTTTCCATATCAAGACTACGGAACCAAGGGTTGCTTGGGCGTGGGAACAACTGTCTGCTGTGTTTGGCGGGCAAGGCTTTCGCGTTTCGTCCACAATCAAAGTGCTTGTGTGATGCAATTCTACGTTGCCTTTGCATCGGTGCTCTCAGTGTGGTGCCCGTTTACGCTGGCTGGAGGGAGTGAGTTTCAAGAAAGCTGGTTAATATCATACGTCGATGTTGGCAAGCCTGGCCCAGGCCCATGGAGCAAGCAAGGCAGAATTTGTGGTCGCCTTGTTGCAGCTCGTCCTCACGGTTTTGCTTCGGTGTTCCCAGGGTGGTGCTCGAGTGCTCGGGCTGGTGGACTGGCATTTCAACTGAAGGCCTCCTGCATGGCTTGCACTCCGTTCGGAGTTCGAGGGCTTCGGCATCGTGGTGGTGCTGCAGACCGTTGCGGTCGTCCTCTTCCTCTGAGTGGGAAGTGTCGGTCCTGAAGGGCCGCGGCGTGTTGTGCCGCCACGACCGCACCCCCTCGCCGGACCGATCCTCATCCTCCTCCGCACTTCTCCTTTTCCTCCTCCTCCTCCTCCTCCTCCTCCGCAGTTCTCCTCCTCCTCATCCTCCTCCGCACTTCTCCTTTTCCTCCTCCTCCTCCTCCTCCTCCCGGAGAGACAGGCCAGCCTCGCTTTGGGGTCCCCTGATCGGTTGTGATTCGACGTTATGGTTTCTGCTACTCGGTCGTCTAAGTTCGACAAGATCCAGAGGGGCTCTGTGAAGGCGGTTCTCTGTGGGGCTACTTGGACTCGTGACAGGGCGGTTAGCTTAGGTTATCAGTGCTGTCCTAAGTGTGTTCTCTGCGGGGAGCCCGACACTTTGTTCCACAGGATTTGGGAGTGTAGCCAGTGCTCTGAGCTGCGTGCCAGTCTTGTGGACCCCTGGGTGCTTGAAGCCTCCAAGGGCCCCAATGTGGACCTTCTCCTTTTCACCCGAGGCCTTTTCAGGCACCCAGGGGATTTGTTCCCACCTCCGCTCTCGGACACAGGTGTAGATATCGTGTGGCATGACGACCCAGCTCGGCTGGGTGGCGGATTCGAGGGCCACATTTTTACGGATGGTTCGTGCTTTAAACATCCTGTGCGGGAGCTGTCGAGAGCGGGGTGGGGGTTGTGTTTTTGAAAATTCGGACTCCGCGGCCCCTCTCTGTTCGGTTTCGGCCCCCGTCTGGAGCCCCACGCCCCAGACGAGTCAGGGAGGGGAATACTCGGCCTTCGGGGGCTCTGTTTTCCTGACCACGGGACCTAGCCACTTTTACACGGACTGCTTGAATGTGCACACGCAGTATCATGCTCCAGGTTATTATAACCAGATCAGCTACAAACTCGTGTATAGTGGTATGGTGATGCAGGCCCTCTCTCACGCTTCGCTCATTTTGAGCCTCACCAAGGTGAAGGCCCACCAGAGTTTTGAGCTGGATTTGGCCCCTCAGGAGGCCTTTTACCTCTTAGGCAACCATGGGGCAGATCAGGCGGCCAAGAGGGGAGCGCTCCAGCACCCTGCCGCTGCGCCCGAGCTTCAAGGAGTTGTGAGTCGTTTAGTTTCAGTTGCCAAAGCGGTCGCCAAGTTGTCTGCGCACCTCCTGCCTCTCTGGCCTCGCCTTGACCTCAAGGGGGTGCAACGTATCGTCCCGCCGCGCCCTGCCGCGGTGGCACGTGGGGGCCATTCTTGGGTGCGTGTCGGGGACCTTTGGCAATGTACTTTGTGTCTACGCGGGAGGCGCACTGCGGCGGTGCCGCCTCCAGGAGCCTGTTCCCATCACTCGCGTGTGAAAGTTGCTCAGCTGGCCTCGCTCGGTCACAGGTGCTGGGTGGTCGATTGCTGTGATGACTCTTTTGTGTGTTTCTGCCAGACGTGTACGTGCTACACTTCTGGTCTCAGGCTCGCCAAGCTGGCGAGTCCGTGCAGCGGCCCTCCTGTCAACAAGGACGGCACACCCAGGACACCAGATTCCTGGGCTCGTATGCTTCGTGGCCTTCATCCAAAGAGGTCACGGGTGACTATTCTGTCTAGCACGATGGCTGCTCTCTGTCCGTAACTTTCAGGGGGTGGTTCGGCCTGCCTTTTGGGCGGGTGGCCCCCCTTGTGGGTGCGGATGCTGTGCGGCCTCGCTGCTGGCTGTGTCACCGCTCTCTGCGCCAGGCTTTCGCCTTGCGACTTTGGTGCAGGAGCCTCTGCGCCGAGGCCTGACTCAACGCAGGAGGGTTGCGGCGTCATTAGCGGTGCATGTCAAAAAAAATCCTCCTCCTCCTCCCCCTCCCTCATCCTCCTCCTCCTCCTCCTCCTCCTCTTCCTCCTCTTCCTCCTCTTCCTCCTCCTCCTCCTCGTTCTTCCCCTTCTCCTCCTCCGCTCAGTAGCAAGCTTGGCTCAAGTCCGCAGCAGGAGGCTCAGAATACAAGTGCGGCTCGCGTGGGGAGTGCACTGCCCCAACAGTGGTCTGCCAAGACAACTTGAAGTGCACTCAGGCTTCATCCCCGACATCCCTTGCGACCTAGCAGTGCGTGCCGATGCAATTCGGCAAAAGCTAAGCGTCGACAGTATGAGTCAGATCTGTGGGAGTGCAGGCACAGCGTCAATGCGGTCACGGGACAGCCATGGTTCAAAAAAACGGAGCTTCTCCAGTGGGTATTTAAATCGTGGGTCTTTCAAGCAGTGCAGCCTCCGCAAGAGTGCATGCTTCAAAAAGAACATTGCTGCCCCTCGAAAAGCATCAGCACGGCCAAACGGTCGCAACCCGATACAATGTGGCGGCAAGTCTGCAGAGCTCGAGGCGGGGGTTAAGCAGCTGCTGGACAATCCGCCTCGGCCTCCTGGCGATGTTCCTGCTGCCCCACTTGAGAAAAAGACAAGCCACGAAAAGGCGCGTGAGAAGCAGCCTCGAATCCGTCACCTCGACGGCCTCATCAAGGCAATGGCCAACAGCTCCAAAGATGTCGACGTCCTCGAGCGCTTGAACGTCATCGAGGACCAGGCCAGCTGCTTCGCAGCAAAACTGGCGAATGCCCGACAGGGAAAGGTCCAGCTGAAACGGTCTCGAGACGAGCAGCAGACAATTGCGGCGCTGCAAGCCCCACTTGGTGATGTCGAGCCGCAAGCTGGGAGGGGACGACGCAGGACGCGCGACGGCTCGAGGAGGACCCGCGTGCTGCGATGCCCCAGACCCGGCCCCCCGCGACCTGTGCAGGGCCCCCGACCTCGTCCCAGATGCCTCTTGGCATGCTTGCCCTGGTGGCGCAGCCGGGTCAAGCCGCCAGTGACCCGGGCTCGCCCGGCAAGCTTCTGCACGAGCTTCCGGCGACGGCGGCGACAGCCGGGCGGCCCGAGGCCGCGGCTGCGGCACCAGCGGCGGTCCCAGCCGCCCCCGCTCCAGCCCCTCCCCGCCCGAGGCAGGATGCAGAGGGCGTCCCCTTGCCCGGCGACGGCGGCGGCGAGGTGGAGATCGACGAGCTCAGTGATGGGAAGCCCCACGCGCCCTTCGAAGCTGCTGGAGCCCGTCCATGCCCGCGGGGAGCGCCAAACAGCTTAGAGAGAGGGTCCAGCGGCTGGGGGTCTCAAAGCTTGAGGTGTGCAGGCGTGAAGGGCAGAGGTGGGGTGCGGAGGGCCAAGTGCAGTTGAAGTCTCCTTCGTTATCATGGCGTCTGTCTTCGGCACTGCGGCCCCATGGAGGGCGCACTACGGCCAGTTCAGTTGACTTCAATGGTGCAGATTGCGCCTCAGTCCTTCGTGACCCTGTCGGAGGCGGTGAACGCTTACTCGCCCAAACCTTGTGCTACATGTGGCGTCGAATTGGTCAGTCCGAGCGCGACATCGGCATCGCAGATTTCTTTCGGCGGGTGCGCGGGCACGATGTTTTCGGCATGCCAGATTTGTCTTGGTGGATGTTCGGGTCCGACGGCGTCGGCATCCCAAAACTCTCTTGGGTAGAGGTCGAATGGGCTGGTGGCGGCATCCCAGATCTCTCTCGAACGGTTCCAGTGCGACGGTCGCCGTATTCCAGATTTGGGGACAACGCGAGTGCGACGACTTCGGCATCCCAGCTTTCTCATTTCTCCTGGTTGACTTCGAGTGCGACGATCTCGACATCCCAAGCTTTATGTACTTCGCCGCCGCTGCCGCCGCCGCTGTCGTCCCCGTCGTTGTCGTCGTCCCCGTCGTCGTCGTCCTCCTCGTCGTCGGCGTCGTCGTCGTTGTCGTCGTCGTCGTCGGCGGCGTCGGCGTCGTCGGCATCGTCTGCACTCACCTCTCCGTTCGGGCTCCAGCAGCCGAGGGCACCGATCGAGGCGCGAGTGGAGGCGAGGCAGGGCGTGGGTTGTGCAGGCCTGGTTCGGCGGCGGCGGGGTCAGGAGGCCGAAGGCAGCCTTCTGCAACTGCACCATCGGGAACGCATCCCAGGCCTTCGCCTCCAGCCACAAGCTCGGCTTCCAAGAAAGAGGGCGCGGTTCCCTCTGTCCTCCGTCAATGAAGGCTCCTAGAGCCTCTCGTCCGACTGCTGCGGCCGAGTATCTCCTGGCAGTGCTCGTCTCGCGCTGGAGGCCCGTGGAGTCGAGAAACATCCTTGGGAGTGTCAAAACCAATGCCCGAGATTATGCTTCGAACGGGGTGTGGACCCCAGCCGTCGAGACAAGGTCGACGTGCACGTCCAACTGCAATGGCATTGGGGGAACCGAAAGGTACCGACACCGCTGCTACCCAGACTTCTCCAGGGGTGCGTTCTGACCAGAAATTCGAAGTGAATCCAGCGGTGGCGACGAGGGCCTCCCAGGAGGCCCAAAAAGGGTAAACGAGGGAAGGCTGACAAACAATTCGAGATGAATCCAGCGGTGGCGACAAGGGCCTCCCATGAGGCCCAAAAAGGGGGTAAACGAGGGAAGGGTAGCGGTACGGGTACCCTGTTCCAACCCTAGCGGGACAGCGGTCCTGGCCAGAGCGGCCCCCTGCTGACGAAGGCGGCGCCGTGCTTTGCCCTGGGAGGGCAGTCTGTGGCCGCGTACACTGGGGCGTCCTGGTGGCAACATGCTTGATGGCGTCCGCGGTAGGTTCGTGCGGCGTCGGCACGCGCAAGGGTTTTTGACACCGCGTCGATTGTGCAACATTGAATCGATCGCGGCCACGATCGTTCAAGGTTGAATTCCGTCGGGTCCAGTGGCGGTACCGTGTCCATCCATCCGTGCTTCCGCGTCGCGCAATTCAACCTTGAACGCCTTGACCGACGTCGCGTGCGCGCCAACGCCACATGAACATGCCGTACCTCGTCACCATCATCGGCATGACGGGAGAGAATGAAGCCATTTTTGGCTTTGGGTGCGCCGCGTTGCACCATAGAACGCCTTAGGGTTCGACTGAGTGCTAGGAGGATATTGGACCGTGCCCTTGAAGCAGTCAACATCAAGCAGTGGCTTAATTGAATGGCAGGGCAGGCTTACATTCCTCAGAAGGCTACGTGCGTGATGCACACGGGGACGATGAAGATCAGCTACTTCATCGCGACCAGAAACTTAGCCTCGAGACTGCATCGAGAGCTCGGAAAGCTGGGCGCGCTCACATAGATTCCACTTCCTCACGTTCCCGCCCAGTTGCAGCTGAAGGACACGATCGACGGACCTGGGCCAGAGTTCACGAAGCTCCTCGATCATTAGCTGTGACGCCAACGGAGGGTTGTGCGAGGTAAGTGTCGGGGGGGGCCTCACTCCCGCCGACAGCCCCACATCGACCCCCGTCGCGGGCAGCCACCGCGCGCCGAAGGCGCTCCGACCCCCGTCGCGGAGCGACGACGAGGCGAGATTAACCCCCGTCGGGGGGTACCCCCCTCCCCACGCCTATTAAGAAACCTCGAGTACCCTTAGCACCGCTTGCAAGACATCTTACAGAGTGTCCACTACACCCAAGGCTTTGCCTCGTGCGTGGGGCGCTGCGTCAGGCAGCGCGGACTTCGAGCTGGTGGGCATATGCACGACGAGGTCGCTCTGCAGGCCCGATCGGGGCCCCCGAAGACTCGCTGGCAGCAGCACGCATGGGAACCACCACAGAAGCGTCAGTACGTAGATTCCAGCGCGGCCGCTTGGGCTAACGCCAAAGCGGACCCAGCAAGTGAAAGGCTGACAGGACCGCAAAGGCATAAACCTTCGGAGGTCCGGGCGGAGTTCCTGGATCGGCGCTGGGCCCCCCGCTGGCCCGCGGGGCGCACCGGGGGCGCCGAAGGCGCAGCCAGGAGGTCCAGCGCTGATCCGAAAGTCCGCGAGAAGCTTCGAAAGTGTATGTTTATTGTGGTGTTGTTACGCGGCAGTTGCTGTCCGATCAAGCTTGCCTAGCGCGCTCCTGTGAGAGGTTGCAAATGCGCAGCGAGGCATGTTCGCTGACTTCCCTGCAATGCTTCAAGGCGCTGCAGGCCGTCGACGAGGTGGACTGGCACTGCCGCCAGATCGGGGCGGAGGAGCACGCGTTGACCTTCGTAGATATGGAGTTCCACGTGGCGACCATCACGTGCTGAGTCGAGCCCACGTTCACCAGTATCGCGGAGGTCGTCGCGGCCAAATCCAACAAGAGGAAGGCCGGCGAGCAAATAGTCCAACAAGACGTTAAACACCGACGCCTCAGTGGTGCCACCCCTCCTCCTCCTCCTCCTCCTCCTCCTCCTCCTCCTCCTCCTCATCATCATCATCATCATCATCATCATCATCATCATCATCATCATAATCATCATCATCATCAGCAGCAGCAGCAGCATCATCATCATCATCATCATCATCATCATCATCATCATCATCTTCTTCATCATCATCATCATCATCATCATCATCATCATCATAAGCATCATCAGCACCATCATCATCATCGTCATCATCATCATCGTCGTCGTCATCATCATCATCGTCATCATCATCATCATCAGCAGCAGCAGCAGCATGTCATCATCATCAGCATCATCATCATCATTTGCATCATCATCACCATCATCACCATAATCATGATCATCATCATCAGCAGCAGCAGCAGCAGCATCGTCAGCATCATCATCGTCATCACCACCATCATCACCACCACCACCAGCATCATCAGCATCATCATCATGCTCGTCATCATCACAATCAACATCGCAATCAACATCATCAGCAGCATCAGCATCGTCATCATCAGCATCATCAGCACCATCACAACATCATGATAATCTCCGATTTCATCCTCTTCTGCCTCTTTCTCACCTTCGTCATCCACCATCCTCAGCATCATAATAATCATCATTATCATCACCACAATCATCATCACCATCAGCATCATCACCACCAGCACCACCACCACCACCACCATCACCATCACCACCACCACCACCACCATGGCCATGATTATAGTCAGCATCAGCATCACCAGTATCATTGTCGTAACCATCATCATCAACAAACATATCCTCATTATCGTCACCATCATTAGCAATATCGTCCTCATGATCGCCCTCGTCCTTATCCTCATCCTCCCCCCCCTCGCCTCCCTCCACATCCTCGTCATATTCGTTGTTGTTCATCATCTCGCTCCTCCACCTTCTCCTCCTCCTCCTCTTCCTCCTGTTCCTCCTTCTCCTCCTCCTCCTCCTCCTCCTCCTCCCCCTCCTCCTCCTCCTTCCTCTCCTCCCCTTCCTCCTCCCCCTCCTCCTCCTCCTCCTCCTCCTCCTGCTCCTCCTCCTCCAACTCTTCGTGTTCGTCTTTCAACGTCCGCGGCGGTGTGGACAGCGAGTCCTGCTCAAAATGAACAGGAACTGCTGCTGGGCAATGTACCCATTCTTTCGTTACCCATGTCGTTCTTGCCGAGTCTTCCTCCTGCCCTCTTCCTCCGACTCCTCCCCCTCCTCCCCTTCGGGGGTACACCGCCATGTGGAGGGTTTCTACGAAGGCCTTAGGCGACCCGTCCTTCTCCTCCTC